CGTGGTTCTTGGGTTCTTGGAGCATGGGGCGCACGAAACACTGTAATGTTCTGAAAATTCCAAACTTTCCAAAATGTCCAACCCCGAACTCACGAAACACTGCAATGCTCAAAACATTCCAACAATTCCAAAATTCTGGCATATATGGCCGGGCCAAGGGCAGATTCGCTAAAACAATTGGAACCTTTTGAGCATTGCAGGGTTTCGTGGGTGTTGAGGCTGTGAAAAGTTTGTTTTGTTTCAAATTGCAGTATTTTGCGAGGCTTAGACCACGAAACACTGCTATGCTCAAGAAAATATTTTTGAGCATTACCGTCTTTTGAGGTTCAGCACGAAACACTGCAATGCCCAACAAAAACTCAACTTTTCCCAGCCCTGAAACTCACGAACCACTGTAATGCTCAAAAAATTCCAAAATTTTATGGAATCTGCCCCGGGCCTGGCCATAGATTTTGGAATTTGTTGAATTTTTGGAGCTTTGGAGCAATACGTGTTTCGCGAGCTTTCGGGTTGGTAAGTTTGGACTTTTTGTTAGATTTTAAAGTCAGCTATTACTCCTCGCCCGCTAAGATTACCTCCTGGAGTGCCCAACACTACCGTTAGAATCCCTGGAGTGCCCAACCCCACAGACTACCGTGAGAATTTTTTGGAGTGCCCAACCCCACAGACTACCGTGAGAATCCCTGGAGTGCTCGGGAACACCAGGGTTTAAGGTTTAGGCTCGGGCTCTTTAGGTCTTAGGATGTGCGTGTATGAATCCAGGAAGGACAAGGCGCTGGGGTGGGGATGTTCGAAGTGAAATAATTTAGCATTAGGCCACAAAGCGCTGCTATGCTCAAATTTTGTGAGGGTTGAGGCTGTGAAAAGTTAGTTTTTTGAGCATTACAGTGTTTTGTGAGGTTCAACACGAAACACTGCAATGCTTAAAAAAACCTCAACTTTTCCCAGCCCTGAAACTCACCAACCAATGTAATTCCAAAAATTTATGGAATCTGCCCTCGGCCTGGCCATAGATGCCAGAATGTTGGAATTTTGGAGCAAGTACAGTGTTTCGTGAGTTTCAATGTTTGAAATCTTGGGGTTTTTGAGCATTACAAGCTTCCGTGATGTCCAGGACAGGGTATACTATATCACAAGAGAACAGTGAGCTTTCAACCACTTTCAAGGACTAGAATTACAATTTTATGTGTCTTCTGGAACAGCAAAGGTTTTCATTACTCTTGTTTGATAAGTATGAACAAGGCCCAGCTTAGTCGTTACACATTTTTTCGCGTATGTCTTCAGAGGTTGGTAGATCTATGGCACCAGCAGCATTGGCTCTAGGCTAGTGCATGAGTTTTGTCAAAAATGGTTTTGGCCCTTCTTCGGCAAGCTGCGCAGCCTACGGATCCAACGCTGTAACAATGAATGGCTCTTAAGTTCCAGCGAAGCCTATCTAGAACCTATTTCATTCCATAATGAAGACTGTAGGAAACTGTTTGCATTTTGCTATCATCAGACACCATGGAGACTTCCTATGCTGTTTGCTATGAAACATGAGTTTTCATTCAGCTAACTTTTATTGATGCTATCCTATATCCCGGACAAGATACCGATCGCTCTGTCCATGGCTGTTTCCCTAATAGCTGTCATAGAAAGTAATGCAAAAGAGTAGCTCTCTTCGATTGCAAGCGACACTCCCTAGATGTGATCAACAGACAAAAAAAAGCTTATTTACTGGTATCTTCTTTTTCCGCGGGCAATTTGCGTGAGACTTCTATCGGTTCTTATTGAAGCCACCTCCCTCATATCCTGACAAAGCGATACCGGTCCTTCTGTGTTATGACTGTGGTTCAGGCTTTGTCATAGTTCGTATGGCAGCATGAAAAAGAGAGGAGCTCTCTTCAGTCTTCAAAGAATAAACGTGCCATCGATGATGTATTTTTCTTCTGGATCAGCAAGAGTTTTTATTTTTGTTGCTTGATAGGTGTGAGGATGGCCCAAATTAGTCTTCGTTTATTTCGTCTTGTATCCTCAACAATAGATACCGATTGCTATGCACATGGCTGCTTTAAATTTCTGTCACAGATCGCGTCACAATATCAGGAGGAGTTTTCTTCCACGAAGTGCCCTCTTACTTTGCTTTACAAGGATAAGGAGCCCCTGCCTTCCGATTAATACGTATCAATACAGGCAGCCGTAATTAGTCCTGTTGCATGCTTGGAAAGTTGCAGGACCTCTCTTACTTCTTGCTGCCGAGGAACTTTATTGTGCGCCGCCATATGCAAATGGAATGTTCAACTCCAGAGGAATTTTCCCATTTTTATGAGGCAAAGAACAGCTATTAGAGTAGGGCTTCAAAAATAAAGGCGCTCGTATATTCGAATTCCTTCCTGTGTCACGGACAGGAGATGAAAGTAGCCCTTTGTTTCTTCTCACTCATAAAGCAAATGCTGGAGCTATTAAGTAGCACCAGCATCGGATGCTTGACGAGCAGTGGGAAAGAGATGGCCCAGGCACACCGTCTTGTTCGTAAGAGAGACTATAGCATGTTTATTATTATTAGAGGAATGTTGTTAGCAGACACCACAAAACAACATAAAACGCCAAAATCACGAGATTTTTGTACAAAAATAGCACGCCCTCCAGCATTTCAGCTTATCCAACACACAAACTATAATAAAACTGCGGCCGAGATTCGGCACCAGATTTATATACATATCAAACCCGCGACATGTGGCAGCACGGTTTGCATGCACATGGCGAAAATCACGATTGTATCAATATTTACGGTGTTTTCGGCATATATGAATACTGGACCAATGTAGAGAAGCAACCGGTGGAATGGTGTGGAAGACATGTGTGTGTGTACTTGATTTATGCAGTGGTATGTCTTGCTACATTCTGCAAAACGTGATGGGCATTGCTCTAGCCATGCATCATACACCTGAAAGTCTGCCCGAGATTCAAAGGCAGCCCGATCCGGCGGCCATTACAAAAGCGACACATATATCTTCATGAAGGTTCTCGGAATAGAAGCATCCTCAGAGCCTGAGAACTATCAAATTGGATTTGAAGCCTTGTGCTGCGGGTAACACGACATGCAGACAACCAACAAGGATTCCAGCATAGAGTGTACATAGGAAGACCGAATCACAGGCCCCCTTTTTTGTCCGAGCCCCGCGAAAAAGAACCCCGAGCCCGAGCATTCAGAAAACGAATGTGAGACCAATGTAAGTTCATGTAAATTCCACAAAAACCGCAAAGAAAAAGTGGCAGCTCTTGAAATGATGCACATGATCTACAGCTTGGAGCAAAGAGTTGAGAAACCGCCCGCTTCATGGGGTCTTGAGTCTTGAGGGTTCTGTAAAGGATAGGAATTTAAAGCTTTCGGTGTTTAGGTTTTTTGTGGCAAGTAGGACTTGTTGCTTTAAGACAGGTTCCAGCTTGAAGCATTTCATTTGGTGAAATTTCTGGGGAAGGAGGTTTTTGGGTTTAGTGTGTTAATGATACAATGTAGCGTTCTGTGCGAGTTGCACTATACCTGGCAAAGCACATCTCCTCGATCAGCCCTTCTCACGCGAGTGGGGAGAATTCTCGGCCGCTAGCGTGCGGGAAGATCGCGGCAACATTGAAGACATGAGGTGAAATACAGACTACAATCCTGGAGGCTAACGGCCCTAGACGGGTAACACCAACTAGACGGTGAGCGTGGAAACCTTCAAACTCAAAGCCCGCAACAAGCTTTACAGCCAACGGAACTAAACCTGTAAACCTTCTTGCCTTAAAGTTGTAAACCCTCAACTTGTCTGAACCCCTGCTAGGTTCAATTCCCAAGCCTACAATGCGGGCCGACACTCGCATGAGGCCGAGTTCAGGTTTTCGCTGCAGAATTCGGATTAAACTTCGCGGCTGAAGTGCTTCGAGGGTCAAGGGGAAGACTGAATACAAGACTTTCAACCAAGTTTATGGTTTCAGGGACTCAGGGTAACATCCTAAAGCTCCTAGCTTGGGGGGACTTGCTCCAAGGAAAGCCCTTAAATATTCGCCAACCGTCTAATCCTGAGCATGCAGTTCCCGGAGCCCGAAATGCGCAGCCCGAAATCCACACACGGAACAGCAAATCGCTCGTTTTCGACGAGCTGTGGTCTATGGGATGTCTATGGGTTTCATGCTAGTGCATGCTTGCTGCGACGAAAGCCAGCCGTCAGCGCGCAACCACATGTGACGACACACCTGTGTAGGCCAGCGGCCACATCGCCTCTTGCGCACAGATGCTCGGCCGCACCTGGAACAGTGCTGGAACTTTTGAGTGCAGCATTTGAAGCAGTGTCGTATGGACCTGGATGCCTTGAAGGGCTTCAGGATGTTGGGTTTCAGGATTTCTGGTTTGAAGGTTCCGGGTTTCAAATCAAATGTGGCTGTGGCCTATCGCCCTGGGGTGAGTATACACTCCGTGATTCCAATTTACGTTGAGCTGAACTGCAGCTAGATGTAGGTTTATCGTGGCCAGAAGCAAGCGGGATGTCTTAGCACCCGACCTGAACTGCACCTGCAACTGTAAAGCAGTTCCGAAGCGCTTAAAACTCCACGAAGCCCAACCGACTGCACTCTAGACTCAGAAAAGAAAGCCTTAATGAGCTGTGTCACTGAGCAATTTGGCCTTTTGACTGTAGCAACTTTAGTCGTAAGCCAAGAGAAATCTCCTTTATGCCATGAGTGCTTCTCAACAGTACAGCGACAACGATCCAAAACAAATGCATACTCAGAGGACACCACACGCATCCCCTGGCGACGAAGGTGGCAACCACCCACAACGGGTCATTTGCACAGCTGGCGCCGGGCATTCGACGACTGACCGATTGCCTTTATGCCTTCCTGTTTTTCCAAAACACGGTTTCCAGAATAATGCCTGAGAGTAATTTCAATTCTTATACTGCTAGCAAGTCAGAGGGGCCTAGCCCATTATTCTAGTGATTTAGCAGGCAGTTGTGAGGCTGTTGTTATGGAAACCGTTTGATCCACAAGGTGTGGGGCTAGCATGAGGTTATGGCCCGGCAGCTCATCTTAGGAAGCTTCGGGATCAGGGTTCAACTCGTCTCTATGAGCTTCGACAGGAGTTCAAGCCGCAAGTTGTGGGTGCTTCGGTCTTGCATCTGAGGCTTCACAGACTGTACCCCTCAGGGTCCCAGTGCCCAAATTTTGCATACATCTTGGCCGAAAAGCTGAAGAACAGGAACTCGCCGAGACGACGTGATGCACTGGGACCCTCGGGGTAGATTTGCAAAGTGCGTGGTAGAGGCAGAGTGTACAGTTTCTTTGCTTCGCATGTGTCACTGCGGTAGGAGACCTTGACAAGAGACACCAACGGAAGCCCTTCCAGCCTGTGTTTGGGTACTTCTGGACAGAACCTATAGACTCTAGAACCGGTAAAGCTAACAGACGCTAACAGGTGACCAATGCGGTTGTGACAACGGTTGTGGGGTCAGAAAAACTAAATACCGGAGGTTTCTCCACAAATCTATAAGCCGAAGCACGCAGGAATATTGCACAGCCACGGCCTCAGGTTCGTGGACCCCAAACCCTGCAAAGTAGCAGACGCACATGGAAGTACCGAAACCTGATCAGACTGTCCGTGTGTTTTGCTTTCGAGCTTGAACCCCATTGTCTGTCACCCGAAATTCCCAACACCGGCTCAGTTCTGGATTATGGTCCCTCGAACTTTGAGAAGATAGTGTCACGCGTCAGAGAATTGCAGGAACTTTTGCAGCAGAGCTTTTGCGAACTTTTGAACTAGACTTGAGCCCCTGAACAGCTGAACCGGCATAGCAAAATATTTGCCCTTAAGCTGGAGACCTATTTACCAATAAAGCGAACAAAACCCGGCAGAAGCTGAGAGCCCATAACCCCAAGTCCTTCCACGCATTTCAAGAACAAGCCTACCCACCGCAGCGCAGTTCTGGAGAGCGGATCGCCCTTGGACTCATCGCACACGGGACGCACTGTCATGGAGGAGGTGCGGGTGAGGCTTCTTTTACAAAGTTTAGGTTAGCAGCCCTCAGGCTTTTGCTGGCTTAGCATGCTCATCCTCGAGGGCTTCCGCAAACTAGATTGCAAAGCTCTGGACGAGGTTGTACTCGCATTACTCGTCTTCAGGTGCGCCACTTTGGGCGTGATGGTGAAGACATACTGTGGTGGAAGCTCTAGCAATAGGTTTCCAGGCTGAGACATTTATGCTACATGCTTCGAACCTCAAGCAAACTTGCAGAAAAATTGAGGCAGCATACCCGAATAGACCTTCGCATAAGATCTAGACCCCGAGCCCGCCATACCTTCAACCCATAATTAGTAGCTATCACACCCTGTGAATTCACTGAAAGCTTTCTGATTCCTTATATTGCCTTTAAGCCCTGACTACAGCACCCTTATGTCGCGTTCAGGACAGCGCGGCTTCTCCGAGCAGCAGAAACCTCAGCAGCTGAGAGGAGATAGGAAGGGACCAAAGAAACAGGAACATGAAGTCAAGTACTGCGCTGAAAACCCACATCCCTGCAGCGATACCTTCTTAGCAATTGAACGCCTGCTGGCTTTTGGGGCTCGGAGATGGAGCGGCTGTAGGTTTCGGTCTATGGTCCAGATTCAATGTTCAGAAGCCACGGTTCGGGTTCTTTGGATTCAAAAGTAGAACTATATATGCCTATGCCAGCCCTGGCAGAATTTAGGCTTTTGGGTAGTTGCTGTTGCTTCCAGTGCCTTTGTATGAGTCCGCCATCTTCGGCAACTCCCGAAGGAATGCAAGGATCCATGTCTCAGGGTGTGGGCCGGACAGCATTCTGGACAACTCCGACGTCGGAGGAATACGGTAGAAAGCCTGGAAACTTCGAACACTACACTGTTTCGTAAGCCTATACACCCCTCAACCTGTAAAACCTGGATGTGCGATATTGGCTATATCTCCGAGCTGCAGTTTACTTTGACATCCTACTTGGGTCGCCGCATCCTAAGTGCCATTCCCCTGAAACGGCATTTCCTGCACCATGCAGCGGCTCTGCCTTTCTGCCAGGTTTGGCCGGCGGAGCTCAGAGCACCGCGGCGCGGGAGCCTGGTAACCTTTGGGATGTCGGGTTTCAGCCTCAGCTTCGATGGCTGCCAGAATAGGGCTCTGCACCTTTGGGCCGTCCGTAACTTGAGGCTGTAACGGAGCATTCAAGGTCCGCTGTTTCTGAAGAACTCTACAGGACTCTAGGGAAGAAGGTGCAGAGCTTAATCGGGGCTTCTGATATTGTGTTCAGGGTTTGGAGATTGCAAGATTTTAGTGTTCACATCTGATGGTTTGTGATTCGGGGGTTGGTAAATACGGTATGCACATGATTGATCACGTCATGTGGAGAGGTAAACATAAACCATTCTGAAGCGATGTTGGACACCACTCCCTAACGTCATGCAATGGTTCTAGAATCCTCAAGGTATCCGGCATACAACCCTGATGGTTTTTACTAGTAAGTAGTTAGGGTATGCTTGTGGGGTAGTTAGGACGTAGGATGTTGATGGTGAGGAGCTGACAGCCTTGCTCCCACAACGCCCGAAGCTCCGCAGCACCGTGTAGCAGTGAAGCCCAAGGAACCCTACACCATGAAGTCCTGAAAAGAATCCTACAAGACGTAGATTTATCATGAATCGCGTGTTTGCATCGCACAGGGTCTCCTCGCGGAAGCCAGAATTCAAGCCAGTCTGCCTATATCCCAGCATCATGTTGAATGGACCTCTGTGCCCGCGTCCGCGACTCGCCGTGTCCGCGGAGTTCTTTTCTCCTAAATGCCCAGTACGCCCCAAAGGCCTACAGTCCCAAACCCCAAGACCTTAAATCCCCCGAACCCTCAAAGTTGGGAGCGCTTTGCAAACCATGCTTTGTGCTCTGACCCAGAACTTGGTCAGCAGCCACCTCGACGAAGCGCTCTATTCGGCCCTGGCAAGGTCCCGGGAGTCGACTCAGACCCAACGAGTTTGGAAGGTGTGCATGCAGATTTCCTATGTCTGTCTGCATAAATCATATATATATATATATATATATATATGTCTGTAGGTGTGTATGTATGTAGGTAATGTATGTAAGTATGTCATGTATGTATGCATGCATGCATGTATGTAACTATGTATACATACTGCTTGAGACATATTATGTAGTATAAAACGAACATAGGTAGCCTCTCATACAAGTTTTTGAGATATAGTGTACTCGCAAACGGTATGATAATGTAGTCTAAGAAAATATGTGGTATTATAGTATTGTGCTGGCGAGAACCTGATGTTCCTGATGTTCTCATTCTTGAGTCTCTTATACTACGCAAGGTATTCCTGAAGCCTAAAACTTGGCCCTGAAGCCTTGATGCCCCAAATCCCCACATCCTCAACCTCCCACACGACCTTCCAAGCCCTAAAGCCTTGCCATTGAGCCAGGCAGTCCTCAACGCCGCAAGGCCAGGTCCTACTTGGGTTTAGTGCTTGCGCTCACGCTTTAGGGCGTGGAAGTGTTGAGAGCCCCGGGGTCTAGTGTTCATCATGTGGGGCTTCCTGGCGGTTTAGGGTTCGATTGCCTTTTTTTTAGAGGTCCAGGAGGGTGCGGTGGCTCGTTTTGAGTGTGCATGGTTCTGCATTGTGCTGCGTGAAAATGACGGAACCCAATGCACCATTGGCCCTATCCTACTTCCAAAGGCACCCTAACGGTAACCTCGAAATCCTGCATGCACCGTGATCGCTACATTGCAACTTGACCCTACATCAACACTGTCGCATTGATATGCGTGGCAGATATCAGGGCGATCTCCCCAAATAGTCGTGTGTATGTGTGTTTACAGTGTGTTGACCTCCAAGATGTTGCTGTTGTGTTGGAGCTTTTGGGGCTTGGATGGCTTGAGCTGCAGACGCCTAGATTTAGACAGAAGCTTTAGATAGGCTTTGGGATTCATTCCAATACTCATCCGGATGTAGGGTTGAATGGTTTTGAAAACCGGGATCACCTGCGCGAGTTGGGGTTCGTTTGCGGTATTGGGTTTACATTTCAAGGCTGCAAGGTTTAGTATGTGTGCCTTCAGGGTGTCGGTTTCCTGGTGGTCTATGAAGATTCGAGAGATCTTCCGGCACAGGCGCTGCGTCGGTGGGCAGCGGTAGCTTGGTCTGGACTTCATATAAGCAGTGTGAGACTGGGAGCATCAGCCCTATACCCTACTTAGACCCTTCTTCTATGCATTTTGAGGTTTGAGGGCCGCGGCATGGCTGATTCATCCTGAACCCTAAACCTTAAACCATAATGTGTTCGAATGATGCC